TATCCGCCCATATGATTGGAGAATCAGAGATGGTTGTTTATGAGGCCAGGAGGAAAGGTAGGTGGGGTTTTCCTTCCTGCCTTCCAGTTCCCAAATAACCAACATGGAGACTTAATATTAATTACAAATGCTTAGCTGATAGCTTAGAGTTGTTACAAACTAACTCTTAGAACTTAAATTAACCCATATTGCTTATCTATCCAGTTGCCATGTGGTGGTACCTTCTTTCAACATTGGACATTCATCTTGCTTCTTTCTGTGTCTTTCATGACTCCTCAGATGCTGCCCTTCTTCTTCCCTGCATTCTGTTTGCTTCAAAAATTCTGCCTAGCTATCAACCAATCAGCTTTTTAGTAACAGTTATAATAATACATATTATAGTGTACAGAGATTGTTCCACAGCATTTCCCCCATTTTGTCTAATTAAAAAGGAAAATTTTTACTTTAATATAGTAAAATTATATACAACAAAAAATTATATACAAAAAAAATCAAGTAAGAAGTACTGTTACAATATCCAGTCCATTTGTGTTTGGCAAAATTAAAGAAAATAATCTATTATCTTTGTGAGCCTAAAATTTTATACCTAAGTTACCTTTTTATCATAATTCAGGAAAACCTTAAATCTGACTGTTTAGTCTTTAACTCCTATTGAGGATTCAGGCAGGAGGCTTACAGTAGTTGGGTAGGCTGACTAATAAGATCTGAAGGCCAATGAATCAATTCATACACGAATCATTTTTCTCATGGCTCTTTAGTCTTCAAAGAAAAAGTTCTTTCCCTTAAGTTCTCTCTCAAAAAGCTCTCTTTAAAATTTCTCCTCAAAAGTCCTTTCTCTTAAAGTTCTCTTTAGAAGTTCTCCTTAAAAATTCTCTAAAAGTTCTTTTTCTTTCCACAAGGCTTCCAGTTATTTACCACATGCACATTTAACAACTCTCTGACAATAGGGCATGCATATCTCTCAGAGTCAGGAAGATAGATAAGGTTTGACAAAAGCAGGATACCTCATGTCTCAGAGGGGAGACATGACTTGTAAAACTTGCTGTTAACTGATTAAAGGGAACTTCTCAATGTTATATTAAAGAAAAAAACTAAGGCTATGTAGTGTGAGATCTGGAGGCTGCAGCTCTTAGCACTGATGCCCCGATGAAAAGGAATTTCCTTTCTTTGGGGCCTTTTTGAGAATATAAAGCACCCACTATATTTTCTCTATCAGAAGGTAATTCTGGCGGGATGATACCTAGACTTTGAATTTCTTCATCAAAGACCCCAGAAGAGTGAAATGTTATCTAACAACAGGGATATCTAGCTACTTAGACAGTCACCCAAAGTTCTTTTGTAATGTTGGCACATCCAACTTTGGCCTACAGGCCTAGAATATCTGACAGGCATTTTGTTCTACCATGTGTTGGCAATTTGGCGGTTGCTTTTTTTTTTTTTTTTTTTTTGCACCCTGTGGGCCTATTTGATTTTTATTTTTGTTTTTGTTTTTGTTTTTGTTTTGTTTTTTTTGTTTTTTTTTTTTCGAGACAGGTTTTCTCTGTGTAGCTTTGGAGCCTATCCTGGCACTCTGGAGACCAGGCTGGCCTCAAACTCACAGAGATCCGCCTGCCTCTGCCTCCCTAGTGTTGGGATTAAAGGTGTGCTCCACCAACGCACAGCTATGTGGTCCAGTCTGAACAGTATATTGTCAGCAATTGAGGCAAGGGCAGTTCCTTTACCCAAATGGGCTAGCTATTGCCAAAAAACAAAAAACAACAACAACAAAAACCCTGTATATGAAGTTTCTTCAATGCCCATCATCTTCTCTGAAGTAGATTGGTGCTGCCAGGAGCAGACATGTCTCACTGTCATGAAAAGTCTTTAAGTTATTAAACATATTAAATGCCATATTCTGTAGGTCTTTGAAGTGTCTGAAGACCATCTATCTAAATATATCTGTGTTTGACCTTGATAACATATCTAATATGACTATAAGTTTGATTACTATAGATGACTAGCTACTAACCTGTATTTCTTAATTATATATTGTATTTTTAAATGAGCTGCATAAACACAATACCCTAAACATGAGTAGAAGCATACATATAGAGGACAAAATTAACTTTAAATTGGTATCAGTAAACTAAAATCCATACCAACAGAAAATATTTTGAGATTAATAGTTGCTTTTTGGATTAAAGTAGATTCAATAATCTATCCTTTTTTTCCTATCATTCCTATATTATATCCACGTTTTCCTTTAGAAAGAGATCTTTGAATTTAAATCTTTTGTTTAGCTATTTTTCTGACTATGTCCAATAACAACTTACAACCAACCTCCCTAAACAATGGCAAACATTCATAATCCATCAAATAGCCAAAACTAGCCTGTACCCCATCTCTTGGGAATGTTGGCAACAACTAGACAACTTCCTGTTGTTCACGGGTGCTGGTATCTTTGGGAGAACCTTGAGAAAATCAGGATAATTGTCCCGTTTTGATTGGAATAGTGTGTGAGGTTAGACCATCTTAGCCAGTAGCCTTGAAGTTGTTCTGGATGCAGAATTCTGAGGAAACTGCAACAGAGATATTTTGAGATGCTGGACACTTTGATCACCTGGTCCATTTATTTTCATTGATGTCTGGTCCCCTTGCTCTGAAAATACATAAACTTTTTAAGGGTAACATGTATCTGTCTTAGTACAAGTATAGACTTGTGTTGTACACATGTTAGCCAATATGACTATTTGTTTTACATCTGAACAAGCAAAATATATGTTACATGTTTTGTAGTTTTTTAGGTTTGTTTCATGTCTGTAGTCTGGATTTTCAGGGGGTCTTTCTCCATCAACCTAATCATCTTTAACCTGGAATGAATCCACAACCTCTCATTTCCTGTGAAAATAAAAATATAACCTCTCCCCCAAAGTAACATGTCTTTTGACTTGCCTTTTGAAATCAAGATGTTTTTAAAATATGTAAGTTGGTTTAATCTAGCAGTTTCCATAATCCAATATTTCTTAGCAGTTGTCACTCACTCATCAGCAGTCAGAAAATTTAAAGACAACACAATAACATACAGGATCCAGACTCTCTGTGTATTTCCCATCTTTATGTGTTTTTTTTCTTTTATATTACTTTTACTCCCTTATTAAGGACTTTATTATTTTAAAACTATGTATTATTCATGACTGTCTATATCCTTTTCCTTTTCTCTCCCAAGCCTTTGTACATATTTAAACACACTGGAACCTATTTAGAGGTTTGTTTTGGGTTTTCTGTTTTGTTTTGTTTTTTCTTAGCACCTGGATCTGTCTTTACTGAGTATCTGTAACCCTTTTGTCTACATGAGCAAAACCCCAAACTCACCATGCAGTGTGCTGGTGAAACTCCAGCCCCCAGGCAGTAGCTGTGAGACACCTCCTATACTGCAGCCTGTATGAAAGACTATGGGAATCCACCATGTGGCTTAGCTCCTGCCATGTTGACAGCCACCAGGACACAAGTCTCTGTACTGCAGCTAGCAGCTAGCATGAGACTAGAAATCTGCATTTGGCCCCATTTTTGTGTGTTTAGAACCTTTTTAAAGCTTTCTTGGGTTTTATGTGGATGTAGGTATCCCACATGGATGCCATTTGTAGATAGACTTGACTTTCCTGCCTACCAGTTCCCAAATAACAATGCTTGGCCAGTAGCTTAGACTTGTTACTAACTCTTAGAACTTAAATTAGCCCATATTGCTTATCTACCCTCTGACATGTAATGGTACCTTCTTTCAACACAGGACATTCATCTTGCTTCTTCCTGTGTCTCTCGTGACTCATCTGACTGCTCCCTTCTTCCCTGCATTCTCTCTGCCTCAAAAATCCTGCTTAGCTGTCAGCCAATCAGCTTATATTAGCAATGAGAGCAATACATATTTACAGTGTATTGTACAAACACCTCCCCCCCCCCCCAGTTTATCCCTTTGGGTAAAGTACAGCTTTTAGTGTAGCTTTGGATATCTGAGATTCTGTAAGTGCCATCAACTGTAAAATAAAGTGCTTGTGGGTCTATAGGTTTCAAAAGAACAAAACACCGAATCCCTAATTCATTGTGTAGTGATCGCCAGGTTGGCAGGTGCTGATGATCCTCCTGGTGCTCAGATTCTAATGAAGTTAAGAGGACACTGACCTTGAGGTCAGAGAGACCAACCCTGAAGATTCTGTATGTTTTCTTAGTGAAGACAGGAATTTCTGGGATTGGACTAGGCTGGACTGGAAAGGTGCCTGCTGTTCAGAGAAAGGTCTGGCCTTTATTGGAGATGACTGAGGATGATTGATTGCTAAGAGGAAAAGAAACACCACATTTGGCAAGTTGTACCTTTGGAATTAAGTAAGAACCACCTTTGTTAAAGCAAGGACCTTTCTTAGTTGGAGGCTTTGATAACTGGAGCATCTTCAGCCTCTTTAGAATCAGATCAGCTTGTGTTGTTTTTTAGGAGATGCTTCCTTGATGATGTCTAACCACTGTGCTTCCCTTTCCAGCCTCCCTCAACGTACAATCCACACAAACCTGTCCCCTACCCGATACCTCCATGCCGGCCACATGCAACTATTGCACCAAGTAAGCATTTCTGGGTTTCCCTTCTTCTTTCTGCTATTCATTAAATTGAAGGAATGGCCTAGTTTATATGCTTGGGAAATCTACAGCACTTCAATTCTGAGAGTTTATTTTGCTGATGGCCAGCTGCAATATCCTAGTCTGCCTTGCTACTGAAGGTATAGTTTATTTTTAGTGTTTTCCTTATTGTTTAAGTTAATTGCAGATTGTTAAATCACTTTATTATTAGAGATTTTCACTTTGGTAAATGGCCTTACATGCCTTTTCTTGGGTAGCTGGTATCTATGCATTTAGAAAAGGTCAGGTGTATGTATGGACTTGAACTTAAGTGGGGCAGGTTCAGCCCACCTCATCTTTCAGAAGCTGTCTGGGATGGGCTTTCAGCAGGGTTTGTCTTCCCCTGCTCAGCCTTCGCTTCACTTCATGTGAGGTGCATCTCTATGACATGACAGTTTAAAATAAACCACATAGCTGTATTCACACAGATTTGAACTCCTAGCCAGTGATACTGAGTTCTCTTTTTCTATTATGTTTTTATTTTAGGTGCTTATAACAATGCGGGTCTGGTACCATTAGCCAATGTGATAGCTCCAGGTGTCCCTCCTCCGCCTCCATACACTCCAAACCCAGTAGGAACAGGTAAAGGTCTGCTGTTGTGGGCTGTTTAAAAAGTCACTCAGTGCTCATATATTTATCTAGAAATGTGTCTATTATGTAGATATGATTCTTTTGTGAGTGTCCTATTTTTCCTTCAGTGCTTTCAAGAGTGTCTATTTATTTAAGTCTTGGTTTTTCTTTTTTGACATCTATCTGTGATTGTGATGGGGAATAGTCTGACTAAAGCTTGAAATCATTTATTTTTACATAGACAATGAAGACCTCTCCAGTCAGTCAAAACCTACACAGAGTCAAAGTAAGTACCCAGCGGACCCAAAGATAACGGCTGCCTGTCATGATCGTTGGCCATTTCTCACTGGGAACTTGAGTTTAGCATCTGTGGAGTATCTCAGGAGAGAGCAGCTCCTAGGTGTACAGTAACGCATACCTGCCAAGAGTGACTTGATATGATAGATTTTATGTTCAAGAAATGTATATATTATCTGGATTTAAATTAATTTTATAACTGTCCTTTTTGCAAGACTGTGAAATCTAAAGATCACATGGCATTCATATCCGTATTCACTTAGCATTCTGATATAGGAAAGGTGATTTTCATGTGCACATGAAGATTACTCTTTCTGACAGATAAGTCTAATGTGGAAAGGGACAGAAGCACTGGAGCAGCAAAAGGCACTGAGCACAGGTGGCCTTGTTGGCGCCACCTGGTGGCAGCACCTAACTTCATTCCCTATAGGAAGGGATGCTCTGCAGTAGGAGGAAGGAAAAGGAGTTCGCAGGGAGAAAAGCAGCTCTTAACCCTGATGACTGTGCCAAGGTAGGGAGTCTTGGTGGGAAAGAAGGTGTGGCAGATCCTGTGTAAAGGAGGAAGTGCAGAGTGAACAGGGCAGACATCAGTATTTCTTACTGTCACTATGGAGCCACCTACCTTTATAAACAAGTCATTTGATTTTGTGGAAATAACTTTAAAGTCTTTACATTTAGTTTTATAATTTAAAAAAGTTCTCCCTTTTAAAAACTACTAAACAGTAATAAAGACTACCTCTGTGGTGGTAGGCCATGGTCCCCATCATTTGATATCCCCATGATATTATTTGTTGTGGTTTCTTTTTTTTTTTTTTTTTTTTTTTTTTTTTTCTGTGCTGGAGGATTGAGCCCAGGGCCTTATGCATGCTCTCTATAATCAAGCTGATTAACTGTATGATCTTTAAACAGCTGGCTTTGCCACACCAAACCTCAGCTTACCTGTGTATAAAATGGGAGTGTTGGTCTCAGGATTAATGTGAGGACAGATGGAGTGGTGGACCTAAGTGGCCTAGCATGGGGTGTGGCAGATGGTGTGTGATGGGTAGTAGCCACATTAGATGACAGGAATGAATGATTTGTTGTGTAATTGGGGTCTTGCTTTTGTTTGCTTCATAGCTTACTTGCAGGGACTGCTAGTGGCAGAGAGTCTTTGCTTTGTAGTTTAAGAAATTCCCAGTGGGAATGGCTCTGAAACCCCTACGAGGACCTGCTTGCCTTTTCTACAAGCTTTGTTATAAGTTCATGGTCTTCAGCATATCTGTGAATAAGACTGAATTCTCATGCACTTCCCAGCCACTGTGGAACAATGTATTTGTAATGGGTTATATACAAACTCAGACTTAGGCTCATATTGCATTCCCTTGATTCTGGTTCTTGCAGAACATATACAGAAGTACAGTACAGACCTGTTTTCATGGTGACTCTGAATGAGTCTTATTTTCATGAAATTAAGTCACTGCTTACAATGTGGATCTCGTAGTGTGTGTGCTTAGCGTGTACAAGCCTTTGAGTGTAATCTACAGCAGGAAAAAAAAATACACTAAATGAAAAACATGAATATGGTGTAGCCCTGAATTTGCACTTCTTATACTATTGTTTGTTAACTTTCTTACCACATTTCTTTTCTGAAAAAAATGTCAAGGGTTGTGAAGCCCAACTGTGCAGCCTGTTTGCACTTCAAATTGTGTACAGTGGCTTAGTTCTGGTGTTTCCTTGAGTGCCTCCTCCCACAAGGCCATCACTGTACTGACCATGTGAGTGAGCATCCTCATGTCAAAAGTCTGCCTTCCACAGGGACCCTTAAGTGTCTATCTTATTCCCTGAAAACGCCTCAGTAGCTATGGCTACAGGGGGAGGAGCAGTCTATGCTGCCTCGGACACAGCATTGAATTCATCCTGGGAGGAGGAACCCAAATCCTTTTAATAATTATCCATAGGGTTTATCAGAATAAAGATGGTGTAGCAAACACAAAATAATATTGAGAACAAGGTCTTGGGTGGTTTGGGAGCTGTCCTCTAAGGTGATCCAGTATGGATCCCTGACACAAACTTACTAAAACAATGAGGCCTGAAGTAGAGGAGGAATTAAACATAGTGTTACACTTAAATGAGTCCCCAGGACAGGCTGAGTGAGGCTTAGGAACTGCTGGAGTAGACTGGTCAGTGTGCACAAATGCAGGATGTGGGCCCTGTAGGTCCTGAGGTAGGAGGCTGTACATGTATTTAGACCTCTAAGGAAGGAGCTGTCTGCAAGTGAGGGGTCCAGGGTGAAGCCAGTACCTCAGCACTACCTCCTCACAAGTGCTTCCAACTTTTATAAAGCAGAAAAGTAGCAAAGGAATGGTTTTCTTGATGATGGGCAGGCACAAGCAGGGCATAGCTATCATCCTGACCACAGATGCTCCAAAGTGGAGATAGGATAATGACACCCAGCAATCCAGACATGTAAAGAGCCATTGGTTTTCCTTTGTATTTGTGAAATATGACAACAATAACAAAAACTGGTTATGTTTGTTTTAAATTGGACATTCCAGCACAGCATAAACCCTGTCTCTTCTCTCCCACAGCGTTTTCCACCCCAGCAGGTCAACTCTTCTCCCCTCACGGTTCTAATCCTTCAACTCCTGCTGTGACTCCTGTTCCTGCTGTGTCCCCAGTCAAGGCAGTAAACCATCCATCCGTGTCAGCAGCTGCCACTGGGGCCGGAATGAGTGCTCCCAACACTGCCCTTTCAGTGTTCCCAACGCCTCAGCCATCTACACCGAACCCGACTGTGATCCGGACTCCCTCGGTGCCCGTGACACCTGTTACTTCAGCCCACAGCACCACACCTGCTCCTGTCCCTTCCATTTTTTCTGGCCTAGTGCCACTGCCAGGTCCCTCTGCCACCCCCACCCCATCCCCTCAGGCCAGCTCTACACCAAGGGTCACGCTGGCTTCCAGTGAGACATTTGCTTCCACATGTGCCCCGTTCACCAGCCATTCTTCAGCCAGCTCTACCGCTGGGTCAGCCAGTAACCCAAGCACGGCTTCCCTGTCGTCGGTCTTTACAGGCCTGCCTCTGCCCTTCCCGCCAGCGTCCCATAGCATCACCACCCCGACTCCTTCTGTAATTGCTAGTGCTGCGGGGCCACATGGGGTAAACAGCCCTCTTCTGTCTGCCTTAAAAGGCTTTCTCACGTCTAACGACACACACTTAATCAATTCTTCTGCCTTGTCCTCTGCAGTCACAAGTGGGCTGGCTTCATTATCCTCTCTTCCCAATCAAAACTCGGATTCCTCTGCCTCAGCCACTAACAAGTGTTATGTCCCTGCTGCTGTTGCTGCCTCACAGAGGTCTTCTACCCCAGGGATGGCCATGTTCCCAGGCCTGCAGTCCCCTGTGGCCAGCGCCACCTCCGCAGCCCCAGTGCTGCCTGTGCAGTCTCCGTTGGCTACCCCTTCCTCCACAGCAATGCCAGTCAGCTGTGGCTCCTCAGGCTCGCTTTTGCATGGTCCCCATGTAGGCGGCATTTCATCTACCCCTGCTGCAGCAACTGTGCCCGTTATGATCAAAAGTGAGCCCACGAGCCCCCCTCCTTCGGCCTTCAAAGGCCCAGCTCATCCCGGCACTCCTGCTCGTGGTACCTTGGGCCTGTCAGGTGCACTGGGCCGTGGATACCCCACAACCTCAGTGCCCATCAGTGTGTCCACTTGCCTTAACCCTGCACTGTCCGGGCTTTCCAGCCTGAGCAATCCCCTGGCTGGTTCTATGTCCCTTCCGCCACATGCGTCCTCCACGCCCATTGCTCCTGTGTTCACTGCCCTTCCCCCTTTCACTTCATTGACCAACAGTTTCCCTCTTCCGGGCAGTCCCTCCCTCAATCCTGCTGTGTCCCTCTCAGGGCCATCAACCACCACATCTGCAACTGGACACCCCAGCTCTGCACCCGTGCGCCCAGTGCTGCCCACCTCCAATGCGTCGCCTGCAGCCTTCCCACTCAACCTGTCCACTGCTGTTCCCTCACTCTTCGCAGTCACCCAGGGCCCTCTGCCTGCCTCTAACCCTTCGTACCCCGGCTTCCCTGTCTCCAGTGCCCCAAGTGGTGCCCCCACACTGCCCTCGTTCCCTGGGCTGCAGGCGCCCTCCACAGTAGCAGTCACACCACTGCCGGTGGCTGCCTCAGCCCCATCACCTGCACCTGTCCTCCCTGGGTTTGCCTCGGCCTTCAGTTCCAACTTCAACTCAGCCCTGGTGGCACAAGCAGGGTATGTGACTCAGCTGCAGATTGACTCAAGTAACTTCTCACCAAGTTTCTGTAGCCATCTTGATTTATATTGATGTTTATATATGTGCTAGGCCAGAGGGGTGGGAGGATAGAAGACCAGTGCCCAGAATATCCCATGACTCCTCGGAATATTATGGAATATATTCCAGAGTGATTACCTGGGTTGCTGAAACTGTTGGCCGCTCTGAGTAAGTTTTACTACCGTGAGTGTGGCTCACTTCCGCAATTCTGTTCCATAGAGGAGCGAGCTGATTTGTTCTCTTGCTTTTACCATCTTTAAGCTGCCCTTTGCCAAATATGGAAGCAACTTTTCCCTCTTCTGCCCTGTCTGCAGTTTGACCTGTTTTTCTACTGATTGTTTTCAGGTTGTCATCTGGACTCCAAGCTGCGGGTAGCTCTGTTTTTCCAGGCCTTCTGTCCCTCCCGGGTATCCCTGGGTTTTCCCAGACTCCTTCACAGTCGTCCCTGCAAGAGTTACAGCACAGCGCAGCTACGCAGTCGGCTTTATTACAGCAGGTATGCGTGTCTGGAGTAAGATGGTAAGGGGTGAACCTTCTTGATGCCCCAGTGTGGACAGGAATGGGCCTTACCAGAGTGTCAGGAGTTTGGTTTGATTATCGATTAGCTGTCCCCAAATTCACAAGTTCTGTTTACCTCCTTTCAGAAGTAACAAAGACGTTAGGATTCAAATGCCTGAATTGTTTTTTTGTTTTTCTCCCCCATTTATAGAATTTTTTAAATCTCAATTTGGAGATTTAAAATGAAAACTAAATCAAGACAATTATAATTTGTCTTAAACTGTAATGAACAGTAAGGCAACTTATTTCTACAAAACAACAGCATCATAAACCATCTCCTGACATATTTTTTAAAATAGCATTTGTCTCCTCATGGTGTGTTGTCTGGTTGTATGTGGATTAGAGCCAATGTGCTAACTATGTGCCTCTTCCTGCAGGTCCATTCAGCATCCACTTTGGAGAACTACCCAGCCCAGCCAGACGGGTTCCCTAGCTACCCTTCCACACCCGGAACACCATTCTCTTTGCAACCAGGTCTATCCCAAAGTGGATGGCAATGAATTTTAAGCATGTTTATTCTTCTTGGGAACAACATGAAATTTGCCCAAGAACTGCAATGAACAATCTGACAGATATGAAATTGTCCAATTGTCTGAAAGCTCGTACTCTTAGGGACACTGAGACAGAGTTTAGAAGTTCAGGTTGCGGGTTTTTTGTTTTGTTTTGTTTTGTTTTTTGAGATAGGGTTTCTCTGTATTGCTTTGGAGATTGTCCTAGAACTCGCTCTGTAGACTAAGCTGGCCTCGAAGATCCGCCTGCCTCTGCCTCCCGAGTGCTGGGATTAAAGGCGTGATCCACCAACGCCTGGCTCAGGTTACGTTTTTATAGTGGTTATAAGTATCTGTGCCCCTACTCCTATATATGTAAATGTACTGGCAATGAATTGTATGGAGAATAGTATTTTAAAGTATGTGGGGACTTTTCGCCTCCCATCCTAGAGTTTTGGATTATGTGTGTGATCTACATAGATTATTAAAGAGGAAAAGGAACTCTTCATAGCCAAATGCAGCCTTAAATCTGATGGTATAGCCTCTATGGGCAGAAGTGATACGCTTACCAGGTTGCATGTGGCCCTGGGGGAGTTACTATTCTGCAGATGCATGTGTGGCTCCGGTTAGCATCAGCTGGAATACAGTACTCCAGATGTATTCAAAGGGGAACTTGAGGCCCACTATTTTTAATTTGTTATTAATAACCCTACATACTGCTGAGTTTAACTCAATATATTCCGGGAAAGCAAAAATGGTGCTGATTGTAGCCTTTAGAATGACATTCAGGTGTTTTCAACTAAAAAAGTATACCCAGAACTACCTTTCTACAGATGTATAAGTGAGGAAGGCTTAGGATAATTTTGCAAAACATCCTTCATGATCTCAGCAGTATGCCCACAAGTGATTCCCCGGCCACCACTATTACTCCTTGTACCCCGGATGCTCTTGGCACATGTTTCCAATCATGGGATGTATTTCTGCTCAAACATTCGTCTGAAGTAAATGTGCGGCAGCAATAGAGAAGACTCGCTCTGTCAGTATGTGCAGTATGTGCTACAGACCTGTGGTGGCCAAGTGTGATCCGCCGTCATGCTCAACAGTGTCTGCAACATTAGATGTAGGGGAGTAGGGAGAATGTAAACCATAGACTCTACTGTAGTGCAGCTCAGCATCTACAAGTTTACTTTTGTAAAGATGGTGTCCTGCAAGATGTTGCAAATGTATTTTCCTTTGACATGGGGAACAAGCTTTTTAAGTATATTGAATAATCCTGTATGGTTAGTTTTTAACATTTTAAAAAATAAACTATGGATATGATAAACAATGTAGAATTATATTACATGCTAGGTAGATAGGGTATTTAATTTTTCTAATTTCTAGAGCTAATATATTGAATTTTTTTTCTGAATTTAGTTGAAATTCTGTTTAGAGCACTGATTGCTCAGTTCCTTCATAAACTTATGGAAAAGTCACATGATGGCCAACACTTAGAACAGACAAGTCTGTTCAAGCACAGACCAATACCAATTGCTGGAAGTTGACATTATCCTTTTCAAGTCCACATTCAATATTATATCAGTCGTATATGTGTTGGTTGTTCAGAAAATGGTTTCTGATTTAGTAATCTCTATTCATTGTGATTCTCCTGTGAGGTATTCATCTATCCTCTGGGCCTCCTGAGCAGAAAGGTCTCCAGTTTATCTTTTCAGCGTGCCCATATTGTGCTGAGTCCATTGGGCATACAAAGGTTTATGTAAAAGTTTAGATGACATATTCTGGAATACTTGTAGTAATCACTGGGGGCTGATTTTGTTTGTGTTTCACAAGCTTCTGAAGTAATAGCTAGTCAATCTGCTCAGCTGCTGAGGAACCAAGATAGGAGGTACAGAATGGCCGAGGAGAATTCCAGTGTTTACTTACCTGCTGCTAACCCGTACTACCTTTGAGGGTCCAGGAAGACTGTTAAAAGTTGCTAAAGTCTTAAAAAATGACTAAGAACATTCTAGAAAAGGCTAAAACCTTGGGGAAATTGCCTGCTAGTAGTATAGTTGAGTATAGTGAATAGTTGGAACAAAGCTAAGAAGCAAGAGCGACATGATTAGGGAAGTGAAACTTTTAATCTTCAATACATGAACTGTACTTTAAGTTCATATAAAATACAGTTGGTGTCAGTGTAAGTATTACAACTCAAAGGGAAAGTTATCCTGGCAGTCGGGAGTCAAGAAATACCACAAAGTCACACTGCACAACAAACCTCACACGAGATTTATTGGGAGGGAAATAACCAAGAGGGTGGCTGCCTCTGCTCTGGCGAGGAGCTGAACAGAAGGCAGGGTTTATATAGAGTTTCTTGGAGAGGGGGTGTAGAATTTTTCAGGCTGAAATTTTCCAGGGTAGGGATTTGTGGGATTTCAAATGCACAGCTTGGGCTTTTTACTCTGTAAGGCAGAGTAGGGTCCAGCCATTAGGACAGTGTTGTGTGGTGAAATCTGGCACTTGGAAATCCTTAGAGAAGGAGCCTGGTCACTCATGTGGATCAAGGAGCTTACTTTACCTCCTTTTTGTTTATTATTGATAAACAATCAGGTTAAAGGAAAGGGAGTGATGTTATCATACTTGCTGTTGAATTGGGGCACAAAAGTCCTTTGGGCAATCATGGGAGAGCTTGTAGGTTCAAGATACCTTTATTCAGGTAAATACCAGTCAAACGCAAGCCAGAGGGTGCCAGGGGCAGCCGAGCAGTGAGGCCAGGGAGAAGGGGAAGGAGAAGGGGCTTCCATGCGCTCTGCTGTCCCTTAAGAGCCCATGCTGCGTCATGCTGACCTCACCTAAGGTGTGGTCAGGCACACCTGTAGCCAGCCTCTAACAGGTGTGGCTTACTGTCCTCTACAGGGCAATATAGATCTTCACTGTCGGAGTATAATCAGGAGTGGCTGGCCTCTGGCTCTGTACCTAGGGGCCAGTAATCCTGTAATCTGTTGCTGAGGAAATCTAGACAAGAAGTTTATAAGGCAGGGTAAGACTAGTAGGGTTAAGAAAAGCAGGAGAAAGGGGATTAAGAAGGGCAGAATCCAATTCCATATTGGACTGTCAGTGAGCCACTGGCTAGAGGCATCGAGCTGTTTCTTACATTTTTGGTTTTTCATCTGCAGTTGTCAGATCTTGTCTTTTACTATACCTGACTGGTTGACATAGAAGCAACATTCCTCCCTGAGAAATAGACAAAGACCACCTCTCTCTGCTGTTAGCAAATCTAATACTCACTGATTTTAGAGCACTGCAGTAGCCAGTGAGTCTGTTTGACCCAGGAAGGTAAGGCTGGCCTGAGCCACCCCTTGGAGATCCTGAATGAACTGAGAGGAAAACCCATGGTAAATAGCTAGGGAAGTAGTCAGTCCTGTTGCTCCAATATTAACACCAGTGCTCATACTCAGAACTGTTGGAGAGTGTATGATGTGAGCCATTCCTTTGTCGTGCATGACTATAAACCTTCTGATGAGAATTGGCAAGGGTGTTTCACTGGGTACTACTGTTAGTTTTGGGAAAGGGTACACCAGGGCACAATCCCAGACCATACAGCAAATAGGCAGCAGTAAACTTGAGTGCTGCAGAGAATCAAGACATTGTGAATGTTTGGTCATAGAGGCTGCATGGTAGTACTAAGGGTTAAGGTATTATTGAAGTCTACAGAATCCAGTGTGCCCACAATGAGTGTTCCTGAGAAGTTCAAGTAGTCTGTGATATCAGAGAGAGAGAGAGAGGAGAGATAAGGGGTGGTAGTGATATTTGGCTTAGAGCAATTAACAAGAGGCAAGGTAAGAGTCTAAGAAGACAATGGGGAAGCTGGGTGGTGGTGGTACACACTTTTAATCTCAGCACTTGGGAGGCAGAGGCTGGTGAATGTCAGTGAGTTCCAGGCCAGCCTGGTCTACAAAGCAAGTTCCAGGACAGCCAAAGCTGTTATACAGAGAAACCCTGTCTCAAAAAACAAATAAACACAAAAAGACAATGAGTGAGGCCACAAATGAGTTTGACCCAAGAGGAATGCACAACCACCATTCTCCAAAGAGGCCAAGAAAAGTTATTCAATAGCTGATATGCAGAGGTTTGTTATTGAGTAGTCTTTTTGTACACTGTGAATATATGTTGCTCTCATTGGTTTAATAAAGAGCTAATGGCCAATAGCTAGGCTGGAAGAAGTTAGGTGGGACTTGTGAATGAAGAAGGGTAGAGTCACAAGGAGATACTGAATGAAGCAAGATGAACATGCTGTACTAAAAAAAGTTAACTGCCATGTGGTAGAGTGTAGATAAAAAAAATATGGGTTAATTTAAGATGTAAGAGCTAATCAATAACAAGCCTAAGCTATCAGACAAGCATTTACAATTAATAAGTTTCTGTGTGATTATTTGGGAGCCAGCAGTTCTGACAAAAATCCCTGTCTATAAATGGTGCCCAATGTCTGGCCATGTATAACCTAAAACAAACTTAATAAAAGCTTCCTGACACACAAAAACAGAGCCTAACACAGCTTCCTGGGCTCACAGTCTCATGTCAGTCATAGTACAGAAATGCATCTCCCACCAGCTCACTGCAGGAGGAATCCAGCCACCAGCCACTATGTATTGACACCATGCACTAAGCTGAATCACACTGGCAGCTGACATACAAGTTTAAGCTTTGCCCCTTGTGATCAGAGAACACTACAGATGCTCAATAACAACAGATCCAGCTTGATAAAAACCTCTAAACAAGTTGCAGTGTTTAAAAATGTACATAGGTCTGAGAAGGAAAGGAGAAAAGATGTAGACAGTCATAGAAAAAAGGAGTTTAAAAATAATAAAATAAGCTCTTTTAAAAATGAGTAAATTATGGGCGCTGGAGAGATGGCTCAGAGGTTAAGAGCACTGACTGCTCTTTCAGAGGTCCTGAGTTCAATTCCCAGCAAACACATGGTGGCTCACAACCATCCATTATGAGGTCTGGTGCCCACTTCTGGTGTGCAGATATATATGGAAGCAGAATGTTGTATACATAATAAATAAATAAATAAAATATTTTTAAAAAATGAGTAAAGTAATAAAAAGGTAAAAAGCCACATAAAGATGGAAAATACATAGGGATGCCTCTGTCATTAGGTAATATTACATCTTTCTGGGGTCTTTGGAGTTAAAGACTACATAAACATAGTTTTCCTTAATAATAAAAATTTCCTTAATAATAAAAAGTAAGTTAGGTATAAAACTTAAGACTCATAATGATAAGATAGATAATAAGGTATTTTCTCTAAATTTGCCAAATCAGGCAGGACAGAAGCTTCCATCTAAGACACTTATCCCTATAACGCCTAAATCAACTTCTAAAACACCTGTCCCCCATGCTGCAGAGGTTTGTTATTGAGTAGTCTTTTTGTACACTGTGAATATATGTTGCTCTCATTGGTTTAATAAAGAGCTAATGGCCAATAGCTAGGCAGGACGTGGTTAGATGGGACTTGTGGACAGGGAAAAAGAGAGTGTAGGGATGAAAAAGGGCAGAGTTGTGAGGAGACATGGAGAGAAGCAAGATGAATATGCCATACTGAAAAAAGGCTCCTCCATGTGATAGAGCATAGATGAGAAATATGGGTTAATTTAATATGTAAGAGTTAGTTAATAACAAGCCTAAGCTATCGGCCAAGCATTTACAATTAATAATAAGCCTCTGTGTGATTATTTGGGAGCCAATGGTCCTGACCTCCCCCCAAAAAAAGAAACCCTTCTTTAGAGGTTAAAGTCTTACACAAAAGATGATGTGGTAGTGAAATGGTACCATTATCATCTAAAATGGGTGATATTAGTGATGTAAAGAGCTTTGGAATACTTCTACCGTGACATATATTCCTACAGGTTGAGAAAGTGGGTTGAGTCCTCTCTGTAATTTGCCTCATGGGCTGCTGTAATGAAAGATATAGTAAAGCAATGACCTGTGTCCTTCATCTGGGGTGCCATGGATCATTAATTAGAATAGAAAAGATTGATCATTTTGCAAAAATGGTAGAACACTTTTTTGAATATGCATCATGTTTCACGGGACCAATAAGAGCAGTCTCTATAAGTCTCTGGCCAAAGTCAACAGTAATCTGTAGTTTGATCATAGAGAAAGTAAGCATGGGGGACAGGTGTTTTAGAAGTTGATTTAGGTGTTATAGGGATAAGTGTCTTAGATGGAAGCTTCTGTCCTGCCTGATCCTGCAGCCATGCAGTTCCAAATAAACACACAGGGCTTATATTAATTATAAACTGTTTGGTCGATGCCTCACACTTATTATTGGCTAGCTTTCTCTTAATTAACCCATTTCATTAATCTGGGGACCTCCATGTGGTCCTGGCTTACTGGTGATCCCCAGGACTCTTGCTTCCTTAGCATCTCCCTGACTCTGCCTACCACCTTTCTCTACCCCTGTTTGGACTTCCTACCTGGCTAAATCCTGCCTGTCCATTGACTGAAATGGCTTTATTTATCAATCAGTAAAACAAACATATTCACAGCATACAGAAGGACATCCCCCACCATCTCCTCTTTTCTGTCTAAATAAAAAGGAAGGTTTTAACTTTAACATGGAAAATTATGTATAACAAAACAGTTATTAAGCAAAAACTATAGTTAACAATATTTAGTCCACTAACATTTGGCAAAATTTAAAGACAATATTTTATCATCTATCCTATCTTTGTGAGTCTGAAGCTTTATAAGTAACCAATCTTTTATCATAAATAAGGAAACCCATACTGTAACTCTTTAACTCCATCAAAGATCCCAGAAGGATAATATATAAACTCTAGAATTGACAGAGACATCTTGCTGTGTGGATAGTCAACAAAAGTTCCTATGTAACGTTGGGACATCCATCTTCAGCCTACAGGCCCTGAATGTCTGGTAGACTTTTTGATGAAGCAGGAATTTTGAAGGGCCATCCAGGCCTTTGGCAAGTTTAGCAATCACTTTTCTTTGTAACCAGCTTGTCCAGTTTGTATAGCCTGTTGTCAATCAGTCCAGGCAAGAGCAGTTTCTTGTCCAAATGGCATGTTGAAGACAAACCTGTTTGTGAGCAGTCTCAAGACACTAGTGGTCTGGTAGAACGATTAAGTATGGGTTTCTTAGATCTTTAAAATATTAGTATAATAGCATAGAGGGGGAGAGAAATCTGAAACATTTGCCATTACCTTAAATCAGTTTCTTATACCTTTAAGACTTTCATTTAAATGCCTTAAAAAACTTTTTTATAGCTTCATATCTTTCTTAATCTCTTCTATTCCCAGACCTTTATACACTTTCTTAGACCCTCAGGACTTACCGAAGCTTACACCAACATCTCTCCTGAGCTTACTTTAGGAACTTCAATCCTGTCACACAATGTCAAAAGTTTAATTTTTTTCTCCATTACCCCTTTATGTCTTTTTAAAACTAATACCGCCTAGGAGACTCTATTATATTACAAAGTTTGGTTACCAGTATGAGGTACATTCTTGTTTGAGTACATGGAGGTACAGCTTTAATACCTTATCAAACAAGCATTGTTTTTATGATTTTGTGTTCAGTACAGGAATTATCATACAAAAATAGAGAAAACAGACATGGCAGCAAGCCCTGGTGAAGGAGAGATGGATAAGGGAGGTATAGGGCCTTTGATGGCTTGATAAACAGTGATTTACTGACACTATTACAATGATGTAGGACACATACGAGCCAGACAAAGATGGCACTGAGGAGAAGTCAGATGAGCAAGTCCTGAGTTGTTTATAAAAAGAGATGATTGGTTGCATAGGTTGAACTCCATGAGAGTATGAACAGCTCATGCTTTACCAGTGTTTACTAGGTAAATAAAGTGTAGGGCACCTAGGCGCATGGTAGGCTGACCTTTAAAACCATTGGTTGGCCCTTTTCCCGCTGTGCTTTTTTTCCTGTTAAAGATGCTTGCTGTGTGGTAATAAATAAATTCCTACTTGACTAGGTTCCCTGCTTCGTCTAATTGTCTCCGGGATCCTGGGAGGCTGAGAAATGGGCAAGCATCGCACTTACCTTTCCATGGACCCAGCTCAGCCTTCTGTGGTTGGGCTAAGATCCTGCAGATGAGCTGTTGGTTAGAGGTGGGGTCTTTTTGTTTTGTTTTGTTTTTTTGAGACAGGGTTTCTCTGACTTTGGAGTCTGTCCTGGAAGTAGCTCTTGTAGACCAGGCTGGTCTGGAACTCACAGAGATCCGCCTGCCTCTGCCTCCTGAGTACTGGGATTAAAGGCGGGTGTCACCAATGTCCGGCTAGAGGTGGGGTCTTTTGGATAATAAACATACATATATATGTAAGAGCTACCCTGGACAGGTGTTGATAGGAAGAAATAGAGGAGGAGAGAGCAAGTTTAGATATAAAAGATTTTCAGATCATTTCTTTGTGCAGTGGCAGAAGTTGCTGAAAGGTTCAGGCATGATAGACCCCGCCCCCTGACAATGGGTGGGGCGTGCACAGTGATGTGCCATGTCACTCATTATGCGGTTCAGAGCAGCATAACTGTGTAGGGACTCTGCACATGAGCCAGCTCCCCCCTTTTAAATCCATAGCTTTATTCTCTCCTTTCTCTCTCTTCGCCTCTCTCTCTGTCTCTCTCTCTCCTCTTGTTTCCTGTGGTCGACCACTAATTCTTCTCTCTTATTGTCTACCCTGCTCTGTTCTTCCATTTCTCTCTCTCCCCCTCCCTCTCCTGCCTGATAATAAAGCTCTATGGTTAATGTATCTCCTAGTTTGTGTTCCATCATGCTGGTTTCCATCTTGCGGTTTCTTTTTCTATTTTTCTAATTTTTAAACTTTTACAAAAGAACAACAGTTGCCATCATTGAAAATTGAGCATGCCGGGCCTGGAGAGATGGCTCAGAGGTTAAGAGCACCAACTGCTCTTCCAGAGGTCCTGAGTTCAATTCCCAGAAACCACATGGAGGCTCACAACCATCCCTTATGAGATCTGGTGCCCTCTTCTGATGTGCAGACATACATGGAAGCAGAATGTTGTATACATAATAAATAAATAAAATCTTTAAAAAAAAGAAAATTGAGCATGCCAATTTAGGCCATTGAAATGCACTGAGGTCAAGCTGTTTGTAGTAGCAGAGTGAGGTTTTAATAAAATCTGAGTCCTTGGAGGAGAGGGGAAGGGTCGCAAAACAAACTCCATGGGAGGTAGTTTCTATAAGCTCCAAATGGGAGCTGAGAGGCAAGAGACAAACCCAGGAGGGCATAGAGAATCTGTGAGACTTCCAGACTGGAACTGAGAGACAGGAGGGACAAGGTTGTGGAGGTCCAACTGGACCTAAGGAAGCTGCAGGCAGATCCTAGGAGGAGGAGGCAAGGAAACAGAGGGTCCCGACAGGAAGCGGGGAATAAGTGTCTTAGTAACTAGAGAGTTGCCCACAGGATGGGAACCTGGAGGGTATAGCAGGATTCAGGAACCAGAGAGAGGACACTTCAGAGCAGGGGAGGAGAGTTGGATGGAAAGAGCAGGTGGAGGGAAGAAGCAGCTAAAAAGGTAGAATTTGGAATCAAATATGGTGGATGGCAGAAGCCAGCAGAAACAAATGATCCATACACACCTTAAGAGAGAGTCAAATCAGCAACTTCGGCCAGTTTGAAATGTTGAGACGTGGGCATGGCTGAAAGGAAAGTGCAGCATCCTCTACCAATGCTACCTGAAGAGAGAGAACTCTGGAGAGGGTAGTGTTTGGAGACCCTTGTATGTTAGGAGATGGGATAAGTGGTGAAAAGCTAAGACAGTAGTGTGTGCCTGGAAGGTTAGCCTTTTTTTGTTTGAGTATAAATAGTTCAGCTATGACCAAAGTACATAGGCAAGGGGCCCATCCTTGGACAGTATGTTACAATTTTTTGATAATTATGCAGTGGACATAAAGGAAGATCCCAGTTAGTGACCCAGGACCCCAAGGACCCCATGTCCCTCCTTTTCAGTAAACTGGAGAGAGAAGGGGCAAGTTAAGTCCAGAAGATACAGGGCTGGAGCCTGGAGGAGGGCCTGTAAAGTTTATGCAAGAAGGGGTTCATGTGAGGAGCTGAGACCCTCATCCTATAGCAGGCAGGCAAGAAGAAACAAAGAAAGAATGTAGTTGGATTTTGCTTTGGGTCACCAGCTCACAAATAAGAACATGGAGACTTATTAATTATGAAAGCTTGGCCTTGGCTTGAGCTTGCTTTTGGTTTTGGTTTTTGGTTTGTTTGTTTGTTTGTTTGTTTGTTTGTTTGTTTGTTTGTGACAGGGTTTGTTTGTTTGTTTGTTTGTTTGTTTGTTTGTTTGTTTGTGACAGGGTTTCTCTGTGGCTTTGGAGGCTGTCCTGGAACTAACTAGCTCTTGTAGACCAGGCTGGTCTCAAACTCAGAGAACCACCTGATTCTGCATCCTGAGTGCTGGGATTAAAGGTGTGTGCCACCACCGCCTGGCGGGCGCTTAGACTTGTTTTTAACTAGCACTTATAACGTACATTAGCCCATTTCTTTTAATCTATGTTCTGTCATACTGCCCATCCTGCTTCCTGTCTCCTCAGGTCTCTCTCACACGCCCAGATTCCTCCTCCTCCTCCTTTCTCTGTCTGCCCAAGTCCTCCCTGTACATCCTGCCTTGCTACTGGCAGTTCAACTTTTTATTACACTAGTCACAGCAA